AAGCTTTTGTTCCTCTTTATTCTGGTTTAAAATTATTCAGACTTGTAATATTTGGATTTCTACCTTCACAAATCATATTTCATGAAAATTTCAGTGATTATCTACATGTCTGAAAAAGCGCGTGCCATAAAGAGAATAAAAATTAACCTCCTGTTAAGTATTGCATACAGATAATCAGTGTAAATGTGTAATTAGCTGAATTGTATTGTATTTGTGTATTATGTATTTGTGAATGTGACTGAAGTACATAATAGTAATAAATGTATATAACAAATGAGAATTTAACAATAAGTATTAGATCCAGGTCCTGTTATCTGTAAATGTGTGATATAAAAATTGATATACCCTGAATATTGAAAACCCCTATCCAATTAGTGAAGTCACTCAGATTCGATTTAAATCTGGACAGTAGCCCTGGCAATACTACCTGAAGGAAACTACATCTTACAGATACTCAACGAGAATGAACTTGCTGCTTCGTTACCTTTTATTTCCGTACTTACACAAGCCTTATCTGATGGGTGAATTCTGCGTAAGTCATACCATAGGAGTGTGATGAATGGAAGATAATGGATTGTATTTGCAGTGAAAATATACAGTAATGAGAAGAGCGCTCCACTTCCACTGAATAAAAGTAGGCGTAAGTACGATACCTTTCTTAGTACGCAATTACACCGCGCGAACGCGGGTAAACTTACAGCATAAAAATACAGAGCTGGCGTGCGGTGCATGTCGCGTGCAGTCAGCCTGGCAATTTGCCAAATTTGCTGTCATTAGAGCGCGTTTTCTTCAAAACATTGAAGACACGATAAGGTCTAGTTACTTAACCATAGCCCAGAAGGGTTATGCATATTTTCAAATGCTGCAACATTTGTTGTAACCGTTGCTACTGTGGGTTACTTTATGCCTTCTGTGCACTCTCTTTTTCTCGTCATTTTTTTGCACAGAGCACCTCTTATAGTACAAATGGGAAAAAATTGTTAAGCTTTCAGTAAAAATTTTCATGGTGTGATTAAGCGTGTTACAAACTTAATGTTAACTACTTCTAAATCATAGAAAGACTTTTCATAATAGTTCACTTTCTCGGTATAGATTTATTTCGTAATTTTATTTTTAGTCTATTGTGGGGCTCCTTGGTTTTTGCCGTTGTTTTCTTTTTGTATTCCATGATAAATAACTCCATAATATTTGATAGTTGAAAGCTAATTGATAGAAGAACCTTTGAATTGATTGGTCTAAGGTGTAGCCGGGTTTTTCGAGAAGACAGCCGTTGCCTGTGATCTAACTATTCGATTTTGCATCATTTTTGCTTATGTAATTCATTCTTGGACATTACTATCGTTGAATTGTGCGCAACAAGCGTTATACCAAGTACTCGCTCAAATCCCAATCCCTTCGTTGTCTTCTGGCTCAACTTCCCTTTCTTTCTATGAGTACTGTATAGTGGAAAGCCATTTTACATAATATCATTTAATGCTCTCTGTTCTGTAAAAATCCCCATTAGTAATTGCGTAGAAGTTGAAGTAATTGAAATGACAGTTTGAAACTGCAAAGAATAGTGGAAGTATCGCAAAGGACATCACATTGCTACGGAATAAAATTAGGCGGAAGTACGATAACTGATTACAGTCTGCAAATACACTACGCGGTTGGGGGTACTTTTACGATTTAGAAAAACTTGGAAAGCGCGGAGAACGTGTCGCGTGCGGTCAGCCTGGCGACTTGCCAACTTGCATATCCACAGAGCGCGTTTTTTTGAACGTGATCAAAGGGGCAGGCTACGGCTACGGCTCAAATTTGGCTTCTATTGCTTCTGTAGGTGTATCCACTTCTTCTCAACTGCAAAATTGTAAATACAGCTTACAGTTGTTGTTGTTTACCCTTTTACCATCGGCTCTTGATTTCTCTAAATGACATTTTTATCGTAGCATCGCGCTCAAATGACCTACGTCAAAATTTTTGTTCGTTTTTATTCATCTTGTGTTTTCAGTTTTCTGATGCCACCACAGCAGCTGAACTATAGCGAGTGCCGTCTATTCCGCTCATTCGCTTTATATCCAGCTGAGCTGGCGACAACTGTACGTGTATGACATTTCTATCGAATTCAACCTCTTTTCTCTACGGCATTTACTTTCTATCTCACCTTTTTGGATAAATTCTACTGTAAACGCTTGTTAGTGCTAATGCATATCTGTATTTTTCACCATTTCTTATTTTCTGTGGGTTCATATGTATCTCTGAATTTGGAAAATAATGTTACGCTGTTAGTCCACATAGTAAGCTAACTTTTTTATTCCCATTTTACTGTTTTTATTTTGATTATGCGTGACAAAGAATCGAGCTAACATAATAAACGTGTTGTTCCTTTGTTTTTAACTCAGTGTACAACTCATTTTAAGGATTACTACAAGTATTAGTTTTTTAAATATTCCCTTCTAAACACGATGTCATTAACAAGGAGAACATATTTGCGAGTGGAGGTGTTTGCGTGTGTCGCATTTGTATTTGTTTGTGTGTATCTGTAGTGTGTGTATAGGTGTATGTGTCGGTGTGTGCATCGGTGTGGGTATGTCCGTAGTTTATTTATGTCGGTGTTTTTTTGGACTTTGTGGTGTGTGTGTGCTTGCCTGTGTGTAAGTGTTCTGTATGTGTGTGAGGTGTGTGTGTGTGTGCTTTGTTCTGGGTATTGGCGCCTTGTGTCATTGTGCTTGTGCGTGTGTGTTTGTGTGTGTGTGTATTGTGTGTCGGTGTGTATGTCGATGTGTGTGTTTTCGCCCGATTGTATGTGACTATCTACGGGCGAAGCTTGCGCGAAATGGCTGCTTTCATAGTCCGCCGGCCTGCGCGCGAGCGTTTGCCCTTGTTTACAACACTCTTGGTCGATACCGTCGGCCGAGTAGTCCCCCAGCCAGCGCGCTCGCGGGTTGGTCGGTGGACTATGAAAGCAGCCAATGAGCTTAATCTTTACGCAGTCAGGTTGGACCAACTGGGAAGGAATCAAAATAGTTAAACGACCTGAGCAGGACTTCGCTAATGGCACCTAAAGCACTCATGAAAAATGTTTGCTTGTTCCGCCAGAAACTCTCAACAACTGTTTTCCTGGATTAGAGCATACAAATTTGGAAAGGATGAAGAGGGAAGATCAAGGGAAGGAAGAAGGGGGTGTGTGAATAGTTGAATCCGTTTTCTTTGATGTTCAGCTTTTTACAATAGATTCCAACAACAAAACAATCGCAAAGACCAAAATTCGTATAAGTACACTACGAATTAATTAATTAAATTAGTTTACATACGTAGAAAATTTAGGTTTTTGATATCAAAGATAGTTATGCTTTTGCGTGATTTTCCCAAACTTTTCCTCTTATTGTTACGATTGATGATTGAAAATATTACGATGAACATGATATTCGATCAGCTTTCTTTCTGTTAGCTTCAGTAATTTCTCATTGTTCTCGAGGTGATATATGGTTGAGAGCTTATTTCTGTTATTGTTTACGTGTTGCTTACTGGGTAAATAAATGGGTAAATATAGCGCTAGCCATAATACGGGAGTTAGTAATATAAAATAAGTCTGAAACTGCAGTAAACATAAGGAGCAATGCGAGTGGCATCGCACTGTCACCGAATAAAATCAAGCGGAGGTACTGTAGCTGCCTTGAGTACGCAATTACACCACGCGATGGGAGGTGTTTTAAAGACGCAACTAAAGAAACAAAGCTAGCCTGCGACGCGTCTTGCGTGCGGTCAATATGGCAACTTGCCAATTTCGTGTTCCTCGAGCGTGATTTCTTACTATATTTCTTACTAGGTGAGAGAAGCATTAGGGTAAGATACATATCTGCCTTCCATAGCTTTGGAAGTCTATGTAAACTTTTCTACTGGGAAGTAAAACTTACTGCAGTCGCTTATAACATGCGCTGCCCCTTTTCAAGATGTTATTTAAATGAAATATACACTTTCTTTTCACTATACTTCGCTCAGACGGTCTAGGCCAAGCCTTTGTTCCTTTTTATAAGATTTAATATTATTTAGACTTGTAATATTTGGATTTCTACTTTCACAATTCATAGCTGTTGAAATTTTCAGCGATTTACATGTCTGAAAAAAACTGGTGCCAAAAAAAATGGATGAAAATATTTTCTGTTTCGTATTGCATACGGAGAGTCAGTATAAATATGTAATTAGATCTAGATTTGTGAAGGTTTTTGAAGTGTATAACAGTAATAAATGTGTATGACAAATGAAAATTTTACAATAAGTAAGAAATCCCGGTACTGTTATCTGGTATTTGTGTGATGGGGTAAAATTATTTATTATAACCCAGATTGAAAACATTTTTCGATCACTGAAGTCAACCAACTTTGATTTAATTCCGAATAATGACCCCGTGTCTGAAAGGAAACGATAGATTCCGAACGAGAATGAACTTGCTGCTCTATTGCTTTTTTATTTTCGTACTTACACGAACCTTTTCTGATGGGTGACGACTGTGTTAGACATAGCATAGGAGTATAAGTAAATGGTAATAATGGCCTTTGTTTGCAGTGGAAATATATAGTAATGAGAGGGGGTGCCATTGTCACTGAATAAAAATAGGCGTAAGTATGATAGCAACCAATGGCACGCGATTACACCACGCGAACGATGGTAATTTTACGGCCTAAAAATACAAAGCTGGCACGCGCTGCATGTCGCGTGCAGTCGTCTGGCAATTTGCCAAGCTTGCTGTTATTGGAGTGCGTCTTCTTCTCAACAATGAAAATACGACAAGGTCGAACGCATACTACTTTATCGTAACTTCGAAAAGGGGTATGCACATCTTTTAAAATGCAAAATAAGATTTATTGTAACCGCTGCATCCGTAGCTTACTCTATGCACTCCGTGCACTCTGTTTTTCTGGTCATCTTATTGCGCTGAACACCTTTCATAATATAAAGAGAAAAAAATTGCTAAGCTTTTAGTATGAATTTTCATAGCGTTTTTAATTTCTAGTTATTGAGGCTACAACCTTAATGGTAACTACTCCTAAATCATAGCAAGACTTTTAATAATATTCACTTTATTGAGATAGATTATTTCCGTAATTTTATTTGTAGCTCACTGTGGGGCTTTTTGGTTTTTGTCACTGCTTTATTTTCGTATTCTATAACAAACACTGATAGTTGAAAGGAATTACTTCACAAGTGTTACTCTGAACACTAGTTTTAATCCTGACTCTGACTTTTTCTGGTGAGTTGTTAGGAAGAATTCAGCCCGTTATGATTTCATCGGTCCAAAATGTTCCGTAGTTAGGTACGCTTCATTATTATGACTCAGCAACTCCAGATAAAAACCATAACAGGTGGCATCATTGATACTGTAGTTACGAATTCACCCCACTACATCCTAGGGATAACTCAGGTTTAAAGCTGATCCATAAAAGAACCTTCGGACTGATTGGTTTTAGGTGGAGCTGGGTTTTTCGAGAAGACTGCCGTTGCGCTGTGATCCAACTATTCGATTTTGCATCACTTGTGCCTAGGTTATCCATTCTGGACCTTACCATCACTGTCAGTTCACTTAAATTGGGCGCATCAAGCGTTAGTCTAACTTCTGGCTCTAACCCCAGTCCCTTCTTCATCTTCTGCTCAACTTCCCTTTCTTTATAAGCGTTTCGTACAGTTAGAAGTGAATTTGCATGTCTTTATTGAGATGATGTTTTTCTGATGGGCGAAAATTGGTGAAATTAGTCGTTTGTCGTAGCACAAAAGTCGAAATAATGTAAAATTACAGTCTGAAAGTGCTAAGAATATCTGAAGTAACGCGATGGACATTGTTACGGAATAAAATTAGGCG